AATAACAAATGATTTTTTAAAGTGGTAGGATTATGGATTTCTGTATAACTTTCTGCATGTATTTCTTATAATTAGAATAAAACAATAATGCTTTTTATCATTAAGAAATGATATTAGCCATAATTGGGATACAAAACATTTTCTCCTTCTTATCTCATCATTTGACAGCATCTACAGTTGTCAAAGGAAAACACATTTCGGCTTTCAAAAGCAAATGTAACCATTTTGGTTCAGCTACTTAAAATATCTTATTATTTCAATATTCTATTTTCTAATTTTGAAGATTTCAACATATATTACTCTGTTCAGCAGTGTGATTATGATCTTTAAAATACATATATATGTGTGTATATACATGAAATTTCTTTTAAAATACGTGCAATAAAGGCTTGGTGACTTCATTAGATAATAGAAATAAAACATTGCACCTGTCACATTCAAGTTTCTTCTAAGTTAAAGAGCTCCTTCAAAAGTCTTAGGTAAAGTTTTATACTGAGTGACCAGCATCCCAACTGGGTGAAGCTGATTAAATTACAGATAAACACTTGACACAGAGCCATAAGTGTCTCTGACCCTCGAAAGATAATAACCACATTTCATCCAGGTGAATAGGAATAGAGAAATAATGTATTGGGGGAATATAGCAGTTGATATTGGGAAAAGAGGTAAGAATAAAGACAAAAACTAGTATACACTGAAAGGGAGTTAAGTAGCTTTGGTAGTCAAAAGTGAAAATCAGAAAACTGTGGCTACCCTAGAGCTGACTGGATTCAGATTTTTTTTATCAATAAAGCCTGGTAAATCAATAATTTTTATTCATGGACTAGTGTGTGTGCACAGTCTCCTGTTTTGATGCTTACAATAAACTTGCATTATCCAAGTGGTCACTGCTCCAAGACACCAAATGTATATGTTAAGGCAAATTTTAATGATATATTTGAATCTAATGCATGTGAATATACACCCACCTACACAGAAGATATATGGAAGCAATAAACTAACAACTTAAAAGACTGAGTGCCTTTTCTAAATAGCAACAAGTTAAGCAAAGGAAAAAGTGACCAAGAGAAAACTGTTAGATGACTGATTAATACACATACACATACGCACACACTTACCCATTTACCACATGGTCTTCATGTCTCTATGCTAATTTTGACCATGTCTACATCAAGTGTAACTAAAATTCTGACTTATTTTCTTTTATTTGATCTACATGATACCAAGTACTTGGCATAAGTGAGCCTATTATATGGATTCTATTACTGGGAAGCTAAGTTGTTAAACTAGATATACAGTCAATACAGCTTGCAATAATTCTCTATAAATCAACACACTATTCAAATATGATCTTTCTAAACATATTACATAAAAATAACACATGTGCAACCTTGACAGTGAACAGGCATGAGTCAGGGAATGCAACCATAGAGCTTCTTTGTTCTCCCCCATTTACACTTATTCACGGGAGCTAGTTTTTTTGCTTTTGTTTCCTGTTCTTGGAAAAAAACTTCTGCAATTCTGCTCACTGTTCAATGACTTGAATTTCTCCAGTGAGTAATTAAAACTTCCAGTATCATTTAATAGTCAGAACTTTGAACATTTTCCCACTTTTGGCCATCTCCTGACTGGAAGCCTTGTAGTCAAAGATGGGAGAGCAATCAGTTTCTTCTTTGCTTTGCGTTTTATTTTTTATTTTGGGGGGTCAGAATCTCCCTCCGTCGCCCAGGCTGGAGTGCAGTGGCATGCTCACAACCACCCCAGCGTCGACCTGCTGTGCTCCAGTGATCCTCTCGCATCAGCCTTCCAAGTAGCCAGAACTACAGGCATGTGCTACCATGCCAGGCTAATTTTTTGATTTATTGTAGAGACGAGGTCTCGCCAAGTTGCTCAGGCTGGTCTCGAACCCGTGGGCTCAGGCAATCCCCTCACCTCAGCCTCCCAAAGTGCTGGGATTGGTTTCTACACCTCCTCCTTCAGAGCTTCTAAGACCTCCAGGGTTGAAACAGAGCAAGTACAAATACATAAATGAGAAGCAAAAGTTTCTGTTCTCACTTGATGGAAACTCTCATGAGTTGGCATGGTATTCTGAACCTAGGAGGAGGTCTCAGTTGAATTTTTTTCTTGTGTGTGCTCTGGAGACACAATAATTTTATGACTGGAGATTTCTCACCTTCCTTTGACACAAGTACTAAAGTTTACAGTCCCCTGAGCATCTGGCCACACTTCTAGCCTCATATCCTCCCCAGGGTCCCCTTGTCTCTATCTCTCAGCCAAGATAGAGTCCATAGAAACAATCTTTGGTATAGGCACTCAGAAAACCACCTGTTCTTTTGCACTTTTATCAGCAACTAGCCAGTCTATTTCCCATTGCTTAGAGCTCTCCAGTATGAGTTAGACATTCTATGTGAGGGAGCTGTCAAGTTCTTTTGAGAAGTTCTGTTAAACTTTCTCCACCAGATTTGGGGCTTCCTCTTTGAGAAGAGATTGGAATTCAGGGCACATCAGCTGCTCTTTCCAAAACTCTTCTCTTTCTCCACTGTCCTTTACCTTAGCTTCTCCTGCCTCTCATGGACCACAAATGAGTGATCACCTCTGGGTCTATGCTATCATTTTTTTTTTCAAGCTCTACAAGCTGGTCTCAAAAATATAGCATCAATTGTCTTTATGCCTCAGCTGGAATGGAGACACAAGTAGTGATACTTCATTGTGTCTTGTTTGGTATGAATGTCACTTATTTAAAATCAGAACACAGCATATCTTCTGAGTAATTACAATATAATTATATAACCTAAAATATTATATTATGTGATGATACATTTATAATAATGTTTTAAATACAATAACAATATATGAAAAATTTTCACAGTAAGATGATTTTCTTTTTTTTCTTTTTTTAACTTAAATTTTTTATTTTAAAGATGTGGGGTACAATTCAAAGTTAGATATACAAATGTTCAATATGTAAGTGTAAGATGATTTTCAAAATATATAATATGATTGATAAATTAAACACAGATCTGTTTATTACTTATTCATGCATTAATTTTCTCCCCCCAAAATAGCAATTATTCAATGTCTGCTAGATGACATCATTCCCTCATGTGTCTGCAGTCTAATCTATTATTTAAAAAAAAAAAATTGACCAGGCACAGTGGCTCAAGCCTGTAATTCCAGCACTTTGGGAGGCTGAGGTGAAGGGACTGTCTGAGCCCACAGGTTCAAGACCACCCTGGGTAACTTGGTGAGACCTCATCTCTACAATAAATAAAAAAATTAGCCGGGTGTGGTAGCATGCACCTGTAGTTTTGGCTACTTGAAAGGCTGAGGTGGAAGGATCCTTGGAGCCCAGCAGGTCAAGGCTGCAGTGGCCGTGAGTGTGCCACTGCACTCCAGCCTGGGTAATGGAGTGAGATTGCAATTCAAAAAAAAAAAAAGAAATCTTTTATACCACCCAACTGCTAGGTTACTTGACAAAAACTGACACAGACTTCGAGCACTGGCAGGAATAGAGAACCAATAAAGAAGAGAGAAAGCAATTAATAAACAAAATATTGGGCCAGTGAGAGCACAAAACTGTCCATAAAGTGATTAAAAAGTATCAGTAGAAATCTGTGATGTACAAAGTTAAGACTAAGATTACTTAATAAATGCAGGAACCCAAAATAAGACATGTGGTTAGCATGCCTAAGGGTAAAGTTGTCTGTGGACAAGGAGATGCTATCTGGAGAAAGTTACTATAAATATATTTGTATCAAAAATATTTTTTGAAAAAAATGTCTGCTATCTAAATAGAGAAAAAATGATGGCTATTTGATGGGGTAGCATAATTGTGAATCTGTGTCCAGTCATTGAATACTACCTGGCAGCATAATTGCTTCCTGGGGTGATGTTTTGCAGCTAGCTTTTAAATAGATCTTATTTTGTTGAGTTTGGAGTTTAAAAGTGGAATGGAAGCCTTACTATCATACAACTTCCATTCTGAGGGAAATAATGAACATTTTTATTTAATTATATATTTTGCTTTTAGAATTAGTTGCCTATTTGCAAAGAAGACATGTCAGCTTTTAAAGAACACTATAATGCTGGAAAAAATTACAACAAGCAAGACAAAGAAAGCCGAAGGAATATAAGGAAAGAAATAAATATGTACCTTAGTTTGTAAACAAAATGCATACCATGAAGTTCCTTATGAATTTGCAAATACAAATGTGATCCTAAAGTTTACTAAGAGCCAAAGTCGAGAAAGAAGGAGGAGGCTAGCTTAGAAGATGCATTGTGCCCATCAATTTAAAACTAACCAATCGCTCAGGAAAATCATAATTATCCTTAATACGAAAAAGAAATTAATGCCATGAATTCTTTTCCAGAAGACATTTTTGTAATAGAAGGATGTCCACAATAAACACAGTTTTATAGGGTTCTTTTTTGTTTGTTTTTTTGGTTTTAATAGCATCCCTAAGCCAGTTAGATCTTTTTGTGGCAAGTTTTGTTAAACTTTTCCAGGCTCCAGCCTGTGTTGCAGGGAGCTGATCCTATCAAGATGGGTTTCCCAGATGCTGAGTCAGCAGCCATCTACTGGGGTCAGCCAAAGGGACAACTGTGAGGATACTGAGTGGCAAAAGGAAAGGAGAAGTTGGGGTAGTTCTCTCGCCTCTGTCTTCAGTGATGTCACCAGTCGGGGCCATGTCCCCCTCTGCACTTTTGTATGTGGAAACTTCCAACTTTCACCCCACTCCCTTTGGCTCTCTTAGATTTAGTGATGGCTTCATTTTGTTGTTAATCTCTGGACTCCTTCAGTATCCCCTGAATGGCTTCTCAGTTCTTTATCACTAATGGAGGCATTTCCTCACTTGAAACGCCCTCTGCTTTAAATATCCAGGGAGTTGTCTGTTATCATACTTGGGTCTTTTTATTTATTATTTTTAAATTTGCCGGAGAGACATTTATTACCAAGGTATAAATTAGAGGCGGCAGGGTGGGGCAGGGGAGCTGAGCAGTCACGTTTTGGAATTCTGCCCCTTTTCTCTGTCCTCCTGGGCCTGGATCTTGAGTTCCTTTTCCAGGTGCTCCTTTGCGCGTTCCCGCGAGGGCCACCTTGGACCGCAGGAAGAAGCAGCCACCCACGGGTTTGTCATTCGCGTTAAACAAGTGTCCGTGGTTCTTCTGGACCTCCTCAGGGCTCAGCATGGAGACACTGAGAATCTGCTGTGCCTCCTGGAGGCTGAGGCCGAAGAGAATGGAGGCAGCTGTACCTTGGTGCCCAGCGTCTCCCCAGGCTTCAGTTGCGGCCCGGCTGGTTGCAAACTCTTGCGCAAGGCCCCAGGCGAAGGCCCTGCCCACCACCTGCACACCGATCGCAATGATCTGGACCAGGTACTTGGCCATGGTGACCTCTCTGCCTTGGGGGGCGGGCTCTGGTCTTGCAGGTCAGCGGTTGGGGCTCAAGGGCGGCCTCAGCGTTGGATCTTGACTGATACAATCATTCAGTATAAGACAAGGGCATATCGTACAACTTAATATGAACATTTTTACACTGGGAAATATTATGAAAAGTGTTATTATCTGCATATTAAATGTCCAGGGATGCTTATACAAACGTGAATAGCAGACACAGAAGAGTGTGGGAAAAGCAAGTCACTCAGGTCTGATCTTCAGGAAGAGGATTAAAATTCATCAGTACCAATACTCCTGGTATTTCAGTACATGAATTAAACGATGCATCTTAAATGCACATGATAAGAGAAAATCCCTAGAAATGCACACCTGCCCACGTCCTGGCTATGATAACTCAATGTAACCCTGGAGAAGCAGTACCTCACCACTCTACCTACCTACAGACAATATAAATGATTCACCTAGGACTATTCTTTTTCTGAAAATATGGAAGATACATGTGAAAGATAATACTTAACCTCCCCCTTCCAGTTCTTCACTTCACTAAATATGTAAACTGGAAGACCCTTTACAACTCAACATGTATGCTAATAAGACAACAAACAATATTACCAAGTTATCCACTTGTTATATGACACCAGTGTAGCTTTTGAAGACAGGAACTTCAGCCCATAAAGTAGGTTTATTTTATTCTGATGTTGTTAAAGTTTTCAATCACATGGCTAATGTCCTAGTTTTTATTACACGTATATACGGCAATAGTTGCATCCTAATTTGGCCTAACTAGGCTTCCCAAGAGGGAGAGCTAGAGACTTTAATCTCCATGGTAGTTTTAATTCTTACTATTAATTAATAAACTGCATCACAAATTTATATTGCAGCATCATAAATCTGAAAATGCACAACCTCCTCTTTGAAGTTTATGTTCTGGATGTGCTGGAAAGTTATGTTTCTCAGCTTGCAAAAGTGACTTAAACCACGGCAAAATCACCAGCTCAATACTGCCAGTGAGACATCTGTCCCAAGAAATGCATCCAACCAACACCCATTTCATCTACACCTACCTGAAAGACTTCTTAATATCTTCTGCTTGGATTGTCTTGAGAATCTCTTGGTATAACTGAGGATCAACTGTTCCTGAAGACATGGCATCTGAAGGACAATTTGAATGTGCATAATAACCTATCAAAATTCCAAAAATAAATAAAATGATGGCTGTGCAAAATACTTTTAAAAGATGGCAAAAGTTACAGCGGTTGCTCTTTGGTGCAGGTCTTGTGTAATGGGTAATGTAGTCAGATTCTTCTTGAAGTCTCTGGAACCTTCCTTTGGGTGAAGCAGCTGGTTGGATGGAATCAAGATTGAGGTCTGCAGTCTCTGAATGCCCCAGGTTCTGACTGTCAGCACTGTCCAGCTGGAACTGGTCAAAACCAGGCTCTTCCAGTTCCTTCTCCATGTCCCACTCTAAGTCAAGGGCAGTGGCCTGAAGGTCATCATTGTCTAAGTACTGTGAGTGTCCTGGAGCTCTTTGATCTGCATTGACCTTCTGATAGGCCATCTTTCTATCTGTGCAAACAAGAGAAATATATTTCCTTAAAATAAACTCACAATTAGAAAAAAAATCTTACCAAGTAAAAACCAAAAGAAAACAGTAAACCCTATTGGTGTGCATAAAATTTTAGTGATTATAATAAGGGGAAATATAGTCTCCCTATAGAAAGTTATATTTTATTTAATTATTTACTTTTATGATTTTTCTATTTGATGTTTTTCTATTGACTTTTTTCTATTGATGCTATAGGAAAGAAAAACAAAAAATAAAAGTAGAAGGTACTTGGTGGAAAAGCTATGAAAAACCGTAAAATTACGCAAATACACACACCCATACACCCATACACCATTAATCTTTGAAGCTCAGGAGAATAACAAAAGTCACAAATGTGAAATCACATCAGAGGATAATGCATTACAATGAAGACAAAATTAAACTTACAAATTTGCAAGATAATTGAAAAAAATAAGGGCAAAACAATAAAACTATGATTTGATAAGTTAAGAGGAACTAAAAAGTAAACAATACTGGGATGGTTACAATGCCAGAGTTAGCTTTATAAACACAAATTTAAGATATGAATAAGCAGAATCACTGTAGTATCAACTCTGCAGAAATCCAAGAAGCAAAAATATGTTATGTTACATAGTCATAAGTTACCAAAAAGAATGGAAAATTTCAAGACTATCAGAAAGGACCAAAATGCTCCAAGGAATTAGTGACATGGATTGGCCTGGCTCAGTGAACTTTGAATAAAAGTCTGGGTTGGCATCAATCCAAAGAGGGGATCCTTTGGCTGGCCTAGGAGAGTTTGGTTTTATAACCTTTCTACAGGAGTGGCAGATGGAAGTTCTTCTCCCCTACACAGTTTTGGATGACAGTTTGATGCATCCTGCCGAGTGGTATTAGGATAACTGGGCTAATTAACTGCAAGTGGTCTTAGCCACTGGTGAATTGTGGCTGCAGATTAAAATTATTTATACGTAAATTTTCTCTGTGTTAAATGTGTCGTCCCAGCTGGACTATAAAGTCCCTCACTAGGTTTTATGATTTTTCTGGATGTACCACAGAGGTAGGTAAAGAACAGAGCTCAACTGATAATTGATTAGCTAGTTGCCTCGGGGATAGTGGTTGACTGAGTAAATCCTAATGAAAAAGATGCAAACACAAACTTCAAAAAGTAACTGAATTGTGAAAATAGAGAATCTGATCAACAGGGATCTTGTAAATAAGACTAGCTTGAAATAATTGAACATTGGGGCGCTCCAGCACAATACTGGTTTTTCATGTCATGCTTTTAGAATCCCAAATACTGAGAGTCACCTATAATTTTTAAAAGTTACTCTTTTGGGTGAAAAAGCTCACCATGTCAGTAGATTTTCAACCATTAAATATTTAGGAACTTAAGAAAGCACACAGTTGTAATGATAAACTTCTCTGCACTCATTCTGTGGTACCAGGGTTTCTAGTTGAACCATATCACATTGCTTCCTTATACTATATTGGATTATGCACATGCTAGATTTGTAATCGTTTCTATAAAGAAACAGAGAGAAAGAAAATAACTGATTCTAACAGAATAGAAAATGAAATTCTAATTCAGTTAAAATTTAAATGACAGATTTTTTAATTTAAACTTCTGACTAATCTTAGAATCATCTAAAGTACTAAAATAAACAGCTTTCCCTTTTTCCTCTCCCAAAAGACAGGGTCTGGCTCTGCTACCCGAGCTGGAATCTAATAGATCTCTTTTGAAAACAGAATGTAGGCCAGGCGCGGTGGCTTATGCCTGTCATTCTAGCACTTTGGAAGGCTGAGGTGGGAAGGAAAAAAATGCAAACAAAGACTTTATGAAAGGGAGTGGCATTATTCATAGAATTATGACTATATGTAGCTCCAGTCCTGGCTGGTTGAGGCCCATATAATTAAGATGATTTGAATTTTCAAAAAAGTTAAAATATAATTCAATATTAAATTTTGCAAAATAAAAATTGTAATTCTGAATAGAATTTTTTTTTTTTTTTGAGTTGGAGTCTCACTCTGTCGCCCAGACTGGAGTGCAGTGGCCGCTCCCGGCCACCACAGCCTCGACCTGCTGGGCTCCGGTGATCCTTCCGCCTCAGCCTTCCAAGTAGCCAGAATTACAGGCATGCGCTACCACGCCCAGCTGATTTTTTTTGATTTATTGTAGAGATGAGGTCTCGCCAAGTTGCCCAGGCTGGTCTCAAACCTGCGGGCTCAGGCAATCCACTCACCTCAGCCTCTCAAAGACGTGAGATTACAGGCTGAGCCACCGAGTCCGGCTCTGAATAGAATTTTTATATGCTTCCTTGTAATCTAGGATTCATTCTTACCTAGTGTTGACTCAGTAATGATGATTACGTAATGCATGTCAGGCACTAAGATAAGCAATGAAGAAATGAGTCCCTATACCTCAGGTAGGGAACAATCCAGAGAGACAAATACGTAAACAAAGTGGAAGTCAAATAAAACATGCAAAGCATCAGGGAAACTCCAGGATGATTGTTTGTAGAAGAAAATATGGGAAATGATTCCTCGAGAAAATGACCTCTCAATTGCTTTTGTCAAGGGAGGAAGAATGTGAGAGGTGGGTACCTAAGCAGGGGGAATACAGACAAGAAGAGAGAATGAGAATGGTCCATCTGAAAACGCTGGCATGATATGTCATGGCAGAGGATGAAGAACATGGTCCAAAATGCGGAGAAAAAGCTAGCAGAATGTGACGTTGGGCAAAAGACTTGACTTCCCTGCAACCCAGGATCTCCATATGTGAAATGTGCATGATAATAATATAAATCTCATAGATCTCAATGTTGTCATTAGGGTTAGTGGGGCCAGTAAATCCAAAGCATCTATTGAGTATTAGATAGGCTATATGAAGGAACACTTCTGTTATTAGAAGAGACAGAATTCTCAAGGATTGGTGGAAGAAATAGAATGAGTTTAAAAAAAGCAGAAGAAATGATATAATTCTGCAAGACATCACAGAGACAGGAAGGAGTTTGTGTAATATTCACACATACACTATAATTGTTTGGTTGTTTTCTGCTGATTTACATTTAGTCTATAGGTAAAGACTATAATATGAAAATCACCACATGATACACTAAAGGTTATCACACAGGTGTTATATGTATGTATTATACTAATATCAGGAATGGCTCTGCATACATTTTCTTTTTCCCTCTGTTTCTCCTTCCCTCCTTCTTGCTTAGCCTTGTTTCCGAAATGATTCAAGAAAGTGCAGATTTGTATTCTGTCTTTGGTGGCATCAAAACACGCTGAGAAAGGGAGTAACATTTGGAGTAGTGATAATTATTTACAAAGGTTCGATGATGGTTGATTAACTGATAGAGGAAGAAACTGAGTCATACTTGATTGAACGAAAATGGCTAAGATAAAATACTAGAAGACAGAAAAATCTGAAAGTAGTAGAATAAATAATCTTTAAAATCCGATGATTCTAACTCTGTCATCTTACAGAAGAAGAAACTGAGGTTCAAAATTGAATAACCATCTTAGGACTGATAAAAATATTGTTCGGGTACATACTCCCTAAGTGATTTATGGTTTTATAAAAATATAACTAAAACTTGGCAGTAACCTACTGTTAAATACCTTATAAACCAATTTGTTTTCATGTGCATTGTAAACTGCTGTTTCCTAGCACTAGTCAAGTTTTTCTTCTTTGGCCTAAAAATCAATGAATTGCTTCTGTCTTGGCATAGTGTTGAGATATTTACCTTAACTGTTCAGCTTATACATTATTGATTAATTTACTCAGACATTGTTCCAATGCAGTTCTCTAGATTTTTTTCTCCCATTTCAGTGAATCAGAGTCTCTCTCTCTCCCTCTCTCTCTCTCTCTCTCTCTCTTTGAAGTCTTCTTTTTTTGTCTTTTAAAAATTGAATTGTAAGCCAGGCTCGGTGGCTCAGCCTGTAATCCCGCGCCTTTGGGAGGCTGAGGTGAGTGGATTGCCTGAGCCCGCGGGTTCGAGACCCGCCTGGGCAGCGAGACTTCATCTCTACAATAAATCAAAAAATCAGCTGGGTGTGGTAGCGCACGCCTGTAATCCTGGCTACTTGGAAGGCTGAGGTGGAAGGATCGCCGGAGCCCAGCAGGTTGAGGCTGCGGTGGCTGGGAGCGGCCACTGCACTCCTCCAGTCTGGGCGACAGGGTGAGACTCCAACTCAAAAAAAAAAAGAAAAATTGAATTGTAGAGCATGTTTTATCCTCAAGGAAAACTTGGCACGTGGGGGTTACTATAGAAATATGAGATCTCTAATTCTGACCTCCAATACAAACATTCAAAGTCATTTATCTATAAATCATCTAGAAACCAATCCTAATGATGAGGCAAAGTCTTCATCTCTAGCCTGACAATAGGCATTCCATCACATGCACATCAGCAATTTAACGCTTTTCAAACATCAGACAGAGCCATCAATTAGAATGTAATGCAGATACAGATATTAACTCCTCACTGTGATGGATATCTGCCTGACACCCTTTCTACCACTCTTGGATTCATTACACATTAATAAATTTTTACTAAATTCTATCTTCCAGGAGAGTAGTATGTGGGTCAAAGGTAGATGAAGTCACTCATTGTAGCAAAATCCAAAGTATTTTAAGAAACTTTTATTTTTGATGAGTTCATTTTATGTGAAATAAAACTGTCAGGAAAATGCCAAGGAAATGAGTATGTGATAACATATACAATGAAGTATTTTAATCACTAACCTGGCAAAATCAGTTATTATATTATTTACACATTAAATATATGTCTATGTAAGATGTAATATATGCATATATAAATGAAGTATACATAAACATATAGACATGAAATATACTTATAGGAATATAATATGATTTATTAATCTATTTCATTAAACTTATCTTGTTTTAAAAATAATATAGGTATTTTTCAAAAATGTCTCTGCCCCAACAGTTTTATTTCACATAAAATAAACTCATCAAAAATAAAAGTTAGAAAGAAAC